ATCTTTTTCATTTGTGGAAAATTTCAAAGTTCTAATGTAAATGTACCGATCGATCTTTAATCCCTTATCCTATCTCTTTGCACTTACCGTCTTCTCTTTCTTTTCCGGCTTCTCCTTTTTCTCTTTCTTTTCCTTCTTGGGCTTTTTCTTTTCCTTCTTCTCGGCACCACCTTCATCGCCGCTACCTCCACCGCCACCACCACCACTTGCATCCGAATCCTCTGAATCACTGGCCACATTCGAATCATATTCTTCCGCAACATCAGATTCATTTTCATTTGGTTTGAAATCTTCATCTGTAGATTCTTCTTCAGAGCCATCTTCATCATCATCTGAATCCTTTTCTCTGGCTTCGGCTTTAACGCGGGCCAAATAGGCATCGGGTTCATTTTCATTATCTGAATCACCAAAGTCGACATCTTTGTAGCCACCCTTATCTTTGCCCACATTACTAATGTTCAGTTTCTTTTGATTAATGAAATCGAAAAGCTTGGAATATTCTTCCTTTTCGATGGAAGAGAATGTGTGTACAGTACCGTTTTTGAGTGTAACCTCAAAATCAAAACTACGTGTTGAACCACCGCTACGGGCAAAGTTAACAGTGGCAATTTCCTCGAAACGTATGTGTACGGGCGGTTTGTGTATGTAGATGAAGCCACGTTCCAAAGGATAAAGATAACCTGCGGCAGCTTTGAATGAACAACCAACAGCAGCTGTGCCGGAGTGGCTAAAAGGGAAAAAATTCAAAAATTAATCAAAATTCCAAAAAAAATTGTCCATGTGTGTAACTTACCCCACAAAATTACCAGGTCCTGTTATTTTACGTCCTATCAATACTTTCATTACCTTACCCATTACCTCATACAAGGGGCCGGATATTTCTTTTTCAAGTTTGCCCTCGTATTTCTCTTTCAGCTCTTCTTCGGTGAAGGGTAGTTCAATTGAGGTTTCATCCTCAGGACTAAAAAGTAACACCAAATAATGATAACGTGTCTGACCCTGTTTAATTGGAGGATCCAGTGACAAAACAAAGAACATTTGTCGATTATCCTTGTGTGGCAACAGGAACAGCCGCAACACAGAATCCATGGGAATTTTGTAATCAAATGTTTTACCATGAAGTTGAAAGAATGTTGAAAATACTTTGATGTCATAACGACCTCTGGGTGTGAGACAATGAATTTCCCTAAAGATGGCAATGGCGTCACCAGATGCCGAAATAACCGAAGCCTTGCTCATAACATTTGTCTGGAAAGTTTCGACGGGGTCTTCTTCAGCCGATTCAACGGCGGGTATGTGGAAACGCATTTCCATTAAGCCCACCGGGGCATCATCGTTCTGATGAAATTCAATGGTAACCTCATTCTTACCCGTTGTACACTGCGAGACATGAGACAGCGGTATCTCGAATATCATTTTACTGTCCTTATCGAAACTGAGTACAGAACCCTTAAAATTGGCTGTACCCCAATTCCAACCTTTGACACACATCTCCTTCTCCACCATATCCTGATGATAGACCTTTTTAACAAATTTCGCCAGTTTTTCATTTTCACTGTCCTTGAAGCCAACAAAACGATAGAGATTACCAGATTTTGTAAACACCCGAATGCCCCAGTTACCGACAAATTTCTGAGAATTTATCAAATCGATATCATCGGCTGGTATGGTGTCCACTTTGCCAGTTTTACTATTTTTGTAGACAATATTCTGTTCGGACAATTTTAAACGGCCAGGTGTCTGCAAAAAAAAGTATTTCTGAACTTGAGAAAAAAATGCGTTACATTTTTGTAAATCCGCTGAACTTACCATCACACCCCGCACTTCCGCTGAAATATCATATTCCAATGTTTCCGCCATGAGTTTGCAAAGATCGTTTTGTTCGTTCGCTCAACAACAATGAAATGCCGAATTTTTTGAAAACTTCTAGCTTCTAGTTATTTCGCAATTTTTTCAATTAAGTGCCGGCACGTTGATTCTTTCAATGGATCTTTTAACAAAACAAAGCACAAACAATGCTTTGCGCCTTCTTCTGCAGAAAATTGGGGAATGAAGGAATGTCAGTTGAAAATGGCATAAGGCAACATAAGCGAAAATCATTCACATGGAATTGATAACAAAATTAAGATTGGCATTGGTAAAAAGAAGAAGCATTACTGCAAGGGTGTTGCCATATTAAAAAATTTACACAATAAGCAAAAGAAGTCATAAATTGGGAATATCTGTATTTTTCGAAGATATGGGCCATCAAAGTTCCGCAAGGACTCTCATATTTCTGATTACAAAAATGTAAATTTATTATCAAAGAAATCCACATTTCTTCGGATATGGGACTCCAAAATTCTCCAGGGACACTTTTAAAGATGTCTAAAGCAATATGGGTATGAATTAAGATCGACAGAAGTGCGGATTATAAATACATAATTATCTTAACAATAATGTCCTTGTTTTCTTTTGCAGTAATGAAAAAATGTATTGTGGCACAAATTTTATTAAGATAGGAATCTTTCGCGTAGCCCAACATCTCATGTCCAAAGGAAAACGTTTTAGATTCCCGGCCGATGGCTGGTCACCCACAAATATTATTCTAATTAATATCTCGAAAATTAGGAATTAATGGAAGAAAAGCATTATAATCAAGGTCTTAAGGTCTAATATGGTAAGCATTTCAAAACAGTCCTCAACCGGACCTTGAACTAGAAAGCCCCTTTAGTTTCTTTAGACGATATACTTAGAATCTTTTTTGAATCGATTTACGCATATCAGTCTTCCTGATTGCAAAATCCGGAATAGCCGTTAAGGGGGAAACACATACGAGGTTTCAGGCTTATGGGGGTTTGGTATTATTTCTTGTTCCAACCTGGATGTCTACATGGTAAAATATAATGGAATAGTAGGGTAAGCTATTAATGCCGATGCGATCTACTTCCAGATGTAGGAACATTCGATGTCTTACTACGAAAAACAAAAAATTTTCAATCTCTGCTCGTCTTTACATAAAGATAAGAGATATAATACAGCTGGAATCTTTTTATGCCTCCACCACAAGTTTGAGTGAGTATTGTGTGCATCACCTCGAGTTTATTTTGTGTAACACTTCGAAATATGCCTCACATACCCAATTTATTTATAATATATACTCCGGACCACACCAATAAAATTCTATGTCGACTGTTCCCCTAGACTTGATTTGGCACTTTTGGGTGAAGGAGCCGCCAACGGAGCTTGAGCACTCACTTTTAACTTATATCCCTTTAGTAGTCATTTGCCTCAGAGGTGGTGTTTTGTCGATTGAAACCGACGTATCTACGAGGCGTTTGCCGTCTCCTGTCGGTTTGAGGGTAGAGTGATGATGACAGTGACATCACCATCGTCCTCCTCATCTGACATTGGAATATAATCCCATATTTCAGCTGGGATGCTCTGCTGGCTTAGGCGAAAGCTGCAATATTTCTCAACGAGGCTGCAGAATGATTCGATTTGTCGGTTTAAATGTCGCCCAAGATCGACGCCAGGTCATCCCCTCATGCAGGTATTTGCGCTTGTGACATTTGAGACTGAGGGTACCAACTCCTGCACTGTTATCAGTCCAAGAATATATTTTTGGTCTGTTCCCGTATTGCAAGAATCTACTACTTTTTACTACGATAACGAATTTTCCTTTATGATATCGAAGAAAATTGTAAAATCTAGTAGATTCTTGCAGTAAGGGAACAGATCATTTGTTTTTGTTTTTTGAGGGTTTAAAAAGTTTGAGACTCCATCCTTAAGTAGAAGAACTAAGTCAACCATGGCAAGGGAATGGTAACTAAACCTAATATTAATCGAGGCGCGAAGGTATGGATGAGAATACAGCCAGAACCCAAACTGCAAACCATATATACTGATGGAGATCCCAGCTTTAAGGAATCATCCTTTTGCGGAGGAATCTACAAGTTTGGTTAATTATAGGGGCCTTAATAGTACGTTCACATTTAACCGGATTTCGTTAACCCAGTGGGTTTTAATTGTCAATTCCTTTACATATTTGTCAAATAAATCCACATAAAGAAGGTTAACCATGCAAAAAAGTTCTAGTGTACATGTCGTTTTAAACACGTTGCCTCGTCGGTGCAGAAGATGATTGGCACTCTGTCATTTTCTCCGAGACGGTTCATTTAATGCATAACTACCCAATGACGAGTATTGGACTTTTCACTATCCGCAATCTGTGAACGTGTCCGATAGCATTCAGCTATGCTTCCGATCGCAGGTATAAGTTTAATTAGCACTGTAACAGTGTTTTTTAGATTATATCCGCGATTGGCGAAGAAAAGGGATGATAGAAGAGATGAAAAAGGATGAAATTAATGTTATTTTGTAAAATTACGTATTTTGGTGGGATCAATTCCGAAGAAAAATGTTACAGTATTAATTGAGTTACACCCAAAGAGAGAGGTCTACAATATGCCTCGTTGCATTTCCAGATATTTATATAGTTGGAGAATTTAAATCGCTATTGACAACATCATTTGGATATAAAGAATGAAATCGTTCTCCAAACACACTTTATTATTAGCCTAAAAGTTATACTCGATGTCGATTTTTTCAAAGAACAAACATTTATTAGAACCTAATAGTACGTCTACATTGTCAATTCCATTGTATATCTGTCAAGTAAATCCTAAAAATTTAGATTAACCCTGTATAAAGTTCTAATGTAAATGCCGTTTAATGAACTAAATAAACAAATTTTGGTATTTTGAGATATTGAAGTTTATATTTCAGTATCATTTAAGAATTAAGCTTTGAATTCTTCCCGATTTTTCTACTAAATTGCTTATCCCCCATTTCCTACATTTGTGCTGCCAATGTGGCAATAACGCAGCCATTTTAAAAGAATGGCAATACCAAACGTTTGTTTACAATTACCGGTATGTAGTTGGCAACGCGGCGTTAACGTGTTGGAATAGACTCGATTGAGAATTGCACAAACTTAGTTAATTTATTAATAAAAAACCAAACAAAAAATGGATGCGGTATGTAAACTTGATTAATTACTCAGTAATTTACTTAATAATTAATATTTCCTTTACATCCAATAGGAATTGAAACAAAAAATTGAGAGCTGTGTTCGTACGGCAGAGGACTTCACAAAACTATACTATCAGTCGTTTGATAAACGGAGGCATGTAAGTTAAATAGTATTTCTATAAATAATGCCGAATATTTTTAATATATTTTAAATCTCCTTGCAGCAAATCAGCCGCCTTTACCTAGAAAATGGTTTATTTGTATGGAATGGCAATGGCGCCTCGGGCAAAGATAATATACACAAATATTTCATAGAATTGCCCTCATCGGAACATACAATTTCCACTCTGGATGCTCAGCCTATTGTTGATGATGCTGTTGCCGGCCAATTAACATATCTAATACAATCTGGTGGTACTGTCAAATATACCGACCAACCGGTTAAACCTTTCCAGCAAACGTTCATTATAACTGCCCAAGATGACAAGTGGAGAATTGCCAGCGATTGTTATCGCCTGCAAGATGCTTTGGTGACACAAAATAAATAAGTGGTGGGAGGAGAAGATTGTTTTTAGTAGTTAGGTCTAATTTTGTACTGACTTTGTAAAAAAAATGAATAATAATAAAAAATAATGTAATTGTAATAATGAAACAAAAATTTAAAGGAAATATTTAAGCTGTATGATTGTTTTTCGCAATAATTCGAAATATCAGCCTTTAGGGTTCTTGAAATGTGAATATATGCAAGAATTAGCAATAATTTTGAATTTTAGGTTCTTATGGCATAAAGAAGGTTTTAGTATGTACAAGGGTCCATATACCTATTTTATAGGATTTTCCTAGCAATGTGTTATTTACAATATATTAGGATGGGGGAAAAATCCATTATGAAAATGTCGACAAACCGCATGTTAGCATAAAACTGTTTTAAACCATTTACACAAAGCTGGATTCAAAATAAGCTTGATGTTTGGGTGCCACACCAATTAACAGAAAAAATAGGATGGATCGAATTCCCATCTGCGAAGTCTTGCCAAACGGAATGAGATAGACCCATTTCTTAAACGGATGGTGACTGGAGATGCACGGTGGACAAACCAGGACTAACGGCCAGGAAGGTTCTGCTATGCATTTGGTGAGACTGAAAGGGGATTATTTATTATGAGTTGCTTCCGTATGGCCAAACGCTAAATTCTGGTCTCTACTGTCAACAATTGGACCGTTTGAAGATAGCAAATGAAACGGCCAGAATTGGCCAACAGGAGAGGTTTCGTGTTCCACCAGGACAACACATCTATAGTGACTTGCCAGAAACTTCGGGAGTTTTGTTGTGAAGTTTTAATGCATCTGTCATACAGTCCGAACTTGGCACCAAGAAAAAGTTGATTTTCTTGCATTGCAAAATTTGTTTAATAATAAAAAAATTTTTATCCAGGTAGGATTGAGAAAATGGACTACTAGAATTTTTTGCAAATAGAGAGCAGGACTTCTATTAGAGAGGCATTATGAAACTACCTTTAAAATGGCAACAAATCCTACAATATTTGACCCAAATCGGACATTCCGAAGAATGTTAAAAAAAGTCTTATAATTCATATAAAAATAATGGATTTCCTTTTCCACAACTTAATATTACCACATTCAAAACTGGGCAGAAAATAGGAAAAATGTTGGATAATATTTCAAAAGGTATTAAAAATCCTAACTATGATCCGAAAGTCGGTAATTTGATGTTTAATGCGAAATTCAGAATACCAGCTTAGAGATAAAGTTTTTCTTCCTCTTTTTCCTTGACTAAAAGAATCAGACATTTGGACATTAAGGATGGGGGCTTCTATTTTTTCCATCGGAACCGAACTCACTTTTAGAATATGTTCAGAATCCACTGAAAGTAATCGAAAAATTTACGAATATAGAAAATTAAGGTTACTTTTTTGTTATTTTTGTAAACAAAATACACACAATTAGATTTTCCCTCAGAGTATGTTAAGATTATTTGGAAAATAATCGGAAAACCAGTTAGAGAATCTCGGAAAAATCACATATCAGAACCCTCGATAAAAATGGTTAGCGATTTAATTTGGTTATTGAAATCACGATTGAGATCGGAATATTTAGGACTAGATGGAATGAATTGAATATAATTTTCAGGATTTTGAATGTTTCAGCTGAATTTTGTAAACGATGTGGATAAAATAACTTCTAGAACAAAATTGCCAACATAGGTATAGTTTTGTGCTAGCTCTGATATATAGGTTTGATACTTCTTTAGATATTTTGAAAGTTCTAACCATATTATTGTACAGATTAACTTTATGTTTTGGAAGGGCTCTGGTATAAAGGTCCGGTATTACTATATTACTTTTGGAAGTCCTAGCGGCATTTTTATACGAATTATCTTCAATTTCACATTAAAAATGTTAGGGGAAAAGGATATCTACCCAGATGTTCAATATACATCCAAATTTCCTCCCAGAAATATATTGAGTTGAGTTATTTAACACGCATTTAAAGGGTCGGCTTCATTTTAAGTAATTTGAATGACTGTCAACCATTTATTAAGACACGGGACTGGAATGCCTACGGGGACCAAATCTAGATGCTATCGGACGTTCTGCATATAGTGGACAGCCAGCTTGCTTTGGGAGAAAATGACCAAGTGGCTATGATTACAAGATCGACGAGATGAAATTGGCGCCCTAAAAATTAATCCCTGGTCTTAGGTCACCTCCTTTCTGAAGTGACTTACCTAACAATGAGGTGTTAGGCGACCTATTGCTCATCAGAATTTCTGGGTTTTGCAGTCAGGGTACCGACTGAATTTGAACGGAGCCTTGTCGATTCGTGGGCGCCACAACAAGTTATACAGATACAGTTAAAAGGAAGTAGATTTCATGCTTTATTTTTTTTCAAAACACATTCAATACAAGTGTCAAGCTTAAAAACTACTAAGAACTTCAAATGTCTAGAAGTCATTAATCTCTAAATCTTAAAATTCTAATTGGCTACTGTAAAGTGGAGCATTCAAAATACAACAGTTCCATTGGCTTTTCAATCTTAAGTACTATACATAACCTCAAAAAATGGACCTTCACATAACATACATGGCATACATACATATGTATATAAAAATATATACACACTTATTCCTTTTTCGATTTCTTATTATCCGGCTCATTGCCATCATCATCACCATCCTCCTCACCACCACCTTCTGTATTAGTTGAAAATACCGGTTTTGGTTGAGTCTGCTTATAGGCCGGTGCAATCCAATATGGATTTTCTTCAGCTTCTTTAGCATATTTGAGAATAGCTTCACGAGGATCTTGATCATCATCGACACGTTTACTTAGACCCAAATTGCGGATAACATATGAACTGAGGGTACCACCGGAACTAGCAACACGACCACCCTGACCACTGGTAATAGGCAAATCAGGACGACGTGATTTAACCGGATCCAAACGATCCTTCTCCATTTTCTTACGTGATGAACCCGATTTCTCTTGCCTAAACATGGGCAGGGCATGAGGTGTGATAATTTGCGACACACCAACAACTTCCACTTGACGCTTCTTGCGATATTTCTTGACGGCACACAATTTGGCACCCCTTAGAGATCTTTGTTCATCATAGTAACATTTAATCACCCCATTACCACAACCCACAAACAATTGATTAAGTTTGGGATGCCATAACGTCTTTATGATATGTGAATCGGTAACCGGGATTCTCTTGATCTCTTCAAATGTTTGAGTATTATAGAAATGTAAATTGGCTTCCTTTTCGCCTTTGGCCAGGGATTCTCCCGTAACCAAAATCTTATCATCCGGACTGAAACAGCAATCGGTGGTGTCATAACGTGAATACAGGTTCGACCAAACATTCAAGGGTTGTTTGAAACTTCGAATATCCCACAACTTCATCGTTTCATCATTACACCGTGTGGCCAATTGTTGGCCCAAATATGAAAACATAATTGAGGTTATTTCGGAACCCTTTTGATGAGCACCTCTTAAACAATGTGTGGTGTTGACAAACATTTTCCTTGTATCCCACATTTGTATGGAACCATCAATACAACCCGCCGCAATCAAGGTGGCATCTCGATTATAGGCACACGAAGAAGCATTAGTTTTCAAACCACCTTGTGCCCTTATCTTAATTACCGTATGTTGCTCCTTATTCTTTATACCCTTCCAAATGCGCAATGTTCCATCCATAGCAGCCGTCAGGAATTCCTCTTTTGTGTATGGGTGCCAACAACCGGAAGTCAATTGTGCCGTATGGCCCTTTGTCTTGGACATATCGGTAATATACAGATCACCCTTAACACATTCCATTTTCTCAAAACCATCTCGATCTAAAATCTTTGCTTGCGAATTCCCGGAAATTACCAATATCATATCACCCGTTATGGAATAGTGCAAATCGCGAATGGGATAATTCTCACAGGGCTGTATGGTACGAAAACTACGCATAGATGAATCCATACCGGCAAAATCCCAAAATGAAACTTCATAGTCTATGGAACCGGAAACCAAACGAGCACCAGCTGGGTCTCCAGCTAACGCCAATATGGCTTTGGAGCCATGTTGCATTTTAACTTCGTGGCTATCGGGAATTTTCTTTTCCAAATCTTCATCTTCGTCATTATCATCATCGTCGTCCTCATCATCATCACTGTCTTTTGTTGGCTTTTTAGATGAATCTTTAGATTTGACACTACCATCTTCTCCCGTGGCCATTGAAGGCAGAGGGCCTATAATTTCATCGTCATCATCATCGTCTTCTTCATCCTTGGAGGGTGGTGGTGCCGGGGCAACTTCTTTGGCTTTGGCAATTTGTTCCTATTAAGAAAAAATACAAATTACTAACTACGTTCCTGTTGAATTCTCCCATCTACTCACATTAATATCAAAGACCTTGGCTGTCTTCCTACCGAAACCGGTAAGACCCATAACTTCTTTTAGCCTCTGGGCCTCCATATCTTCTGTGACATCCTCAATTTGTTTTTGCATCTGATGTTTATCGATTTTTTTGAAACCTCCAACTGCACCGCCATCACTTGGGCCGGCCTGTTCCTTTTCCTCTTCATTTCCGGCAGCAGCCACTGTTGGCTTGCTGAGATTCAAATTAATTTTACCAAATGAAATTTTACCCCTCTGCATGATTTTCGAAGTAATTTATTTTATTTATTTGCTGACAAAAATTTGGTATATTCCGGCCATCGACAATCAAAACAAAAATAGTCGTGGAAGAAGGTAAATTCTGTGGCTAGAAGAAGAAGAAGAAGAGTAAGAAAATAGATGATTTACCTAAATGAAAGCGTAAGCGACGATGTTGTTGCTTTATAAAGGTGATTTATATAAAAAGATTTTTAATATGTTTTTTTAGGTTATGGAATTGAAAATATAAAAGGTTTCGATGGAAAGAAAGATGGAATAGAAAAAAAAAAAATAATTATTATATTCGTGCGAAGAATGCCATTTCACATGGGACATAAGATCGAAGGTAGGCAAGACATTAAATATTTGTAATATTTGCAGAAGTGTAAAAATTCGAGTAAAAGGGATGCGGATAACATAGATAATATCCTTCAATATAAGCTGCACTTTCTGTGGTTCTTCTATATATTATTTTCAATTCAGAAGGACTGATAAACACTTCTGAAGAATACAACATACATGATTAAACCTTTTAAATATTGGCTATAAATTGTGTAAGAAACCCAATGAATGATACTAACTTTTGAAGAGCGAGGCCCATTGTATTTGAACTTTGGTATTATCTTTTCTCAACTGGTAGTCTTGTATAATAATAATCCGAAATGTTTATAGCAGGTTACATGATTGCTGATAACAATACTAAGAAGCCCGATTCCTCTGCAGCTGTTAAATATAATGGTAAACTGTAACTACAATTTCAAGAATAAGAACAGTTTTGAAACTTATTTCTGACATTCCTCATTAAAATAATCATTTTATACTCTTGGACTTCTGTGCTAATCGAAACCTAATGGATTGTATGTAAGTTCTAATGGATTTAAGTATGAGGTAGTTAGTTATTTTCCAATGTTTTTTATTTGTCCTTGTGGTTGAATATACACACAAATAAATGACGAATTCCTATTGAAAGGGGTTTTAAGATCATAACCACAATAAACAACTAATTTTAAATATCGGTGTCTAAACTGACAGAAGATGGTTTGTCATTGCACTAACAAAGCTTTACGGTCGGATTTATAATTTAAAATTCGAAATTTGTTATTACTTCAGCAAAACCTCGAAATATACCTTGGAAATGCCCTTTAAATATATTCATATTCCAACCGACTTGGCTATAAATTCCAAGTTTTTCGAAGGTGAAGACATATTTACTGAAGATTATCAACATATCTCCCAAATATGGGGCTCGTCCTATTTATGCATTTTTATCTATCTCATTCTACTATCGATATGGCTATAGTGGGGCATTGCGGGTACTTGAAGGCTGAGAAACATATTTGTGGACAAGTTTCAATTTAATACCTTGTTTTTGAAATATTCCTCTTATAAAGGTACCGCTCTAATCTACATATATTATTTACCTAGGCGCAACCGAAGAGACTGCAATTTGTCATTGGTGACTAAAAAACTCCTTCATATAAAAGTATAATTGCAATATCTATCATTCTGAAAAGCCATTCTCGATTTAATATTATTCCAATGTTGTTTTGAGTATGGAGGGTATATTAATTTCGTTTTTCCTTTTGTAACTCAACGAAATAATCATTTCCTAAAAAGTATATATATTATTGATCCGCGTAAAATTCTATAAAGATCTAAGAATGTCCATCTGTCCGTTTGTCAGTTTTAATCACTCTAGCGCCCAAACGAATTGAGACGGATCGCCAAAACTTAGCATAGAGTCGTCTTTTGTCTGCAGGCAGATCAAGTTCGAAGGTGGGCTATATCGGTTCACGTTTAGGCATAGCTCCCATATAAGGGTACTCCCAAATTTTCGGTATTTTGGAGTTCTTAAGCGCGTTTCAACCGAATTCGCTGAAATTTGGTACATTCGGTTCTTATTGGGTACCAAATTTCTCCACTAAAAATGTTAAATACAGGTCCACTTTTTCTGGTAGCTCCCATATAACGATAACCCCCCAATTTTCTGGTGGTTTTGATCTCATTTTTCTGTAATTTAGTGCTCGTCTGTCTGTCCATGTTAAATTGTAAACAAAGTACAGGTCGCATTTATTATTCGAATTGGATAAAATTTGGCACAGCTCATCTATTTGGCCCACGAACGAACCCTATTGAATCTAAAGAAAATCGGTTCTGATTTAGATATAGCTCCAGTATATAGTTTCGTCCGATTTAAGGTAATTGGAGCACCGAACTAACCCTATTGAAACTGAAGAAAATCGGTTCAGATTTAGATATAGCTCCCGTATGTAGTTTCGTCCGATTTAAGGTAATGGAGCACCAAAGTCCCTTTATAACTTTAGATTTTCACGAAATTTGACAAAGCGTGCTGAATTAGGTCTAGAATGATGTGTGTTAAGTTTCGTGGAAATCGGTTCAGATTTAGGTATAGCTCCCATATATATTTTTGTCCGATTTCATGAGCCTATGATGGTGAGTGTTTAGTTTAATGGAAATCGGTTCAGATTTAGATATAGCTCCCATGAATATTTCGTATATCTTCTGATTTGCAGAAATTTGGCATAGCGTACTAAATAAAGTCTGGAATGATGTGTGTTAAGTTTCGTGGTAATCGGTTCAATTTAGTCTCATATATATCTTCTGATTTGCTGAAATTTGGCATAGCGTACTAAATAAAGTCTGGAATGATGTGTGTTAAGTTTCGTGGAATTCGGTTCAGATTTAGATATAGCTCCTAGATATATTTTCGTCCGATTTAAGGTAAATATTGCACCAAAGTATGTATATATCTTTCGATTTTCACGAAATTTGTCATATCGTACTGAAATAAGTCTAGAATGATGTGTGTCAAGTTTCGTGAAAATCGGCTCAGATTTAGATATATTTTTCATCCGATTGAATGTTAATTTCGATTTGACCGGAATTTGGCATAGCGTACTGACATAAGTCTAGAATGATGTGTGTTAAGTTTTTTGAAAATCGGTTCAGATTTAGATATATGTAGCTCCAATATACATTTTCGTCCGCTAAAACACCAATGTTTTTCCGATTGGCCCAAGTTTTGAACAATGTAGTGAAAATAATATAAACTCTGGCAAGTTTTTTTTTAATCGGATCAGATTTAGATATAGCTCCCACATATATATTTTCGTCCGATTTTAGGTAAATGGTGCACCAATGTTTGTCCGGACACGAATTTTTCACAACGTATCAAATTGAGACTAGAATGACGTCACATTCAACCTGTATATATCCAATTTACTTTCACGGAATGAGGAATTCTTTGAGAAATCTTTAATACAGTCAGGTTGAATAAGAACTCAGATGTGGAAAATCGTTCATCAATTCTGGCTGAATAGGGGTTTAAATAAAATATCAGAATTTAAAACGGGCGGAATAGTGTTTTTATAGGAAAGTTATTCAGCCTGGCTAAACGAAGTTTTGTTTAGGGAAACTGCTTTTGAGACTGGTTAATAAGAGGTTTTTAATTTCTTGAAGCAGTAAATGGCGACAGAACGTGGTTTTCTATAGATTAACTTCAAATTCGATTTGGAATAAACGTTTTTTTAAATAAAGAAATTAGGAGCTATTTGGCAAAATATTTCTGTTTACTTTTCTCAGTATTATCCAGAGGAGAATAAACTTACACTCTGAAATAGAACTTACTGAGTAAATGTTACTGGAAAAGTAACCAGATACAGCTAATATTAGGTGCGTTCGTTTACTTTCCCAGTAACATTTACTCAGTAAGAATTTGCAGAGAGTAAAATAGGAATTTTTCGTTCTCAAAAAGATTGTATCGAAACAGCTGATTGAAACAACAAACAATTTGGCGTAAACAAAAAAAAAATCAGACTTTTTATTAGAAAAATGGATAACAAGCGGAAAATTGATGTTGTTTATAAATACTTTCGTTTTCTTTATTCATTTTAATGTTTAATAATACAAAATCAATATTAAATTCACAAAACAATAAATTTGCCTGAGAAAAATTTTGTTTGTTTACAAAACATAAGAAACAGCTGATTTAATATCAGCTGATGGTACAACAAAATTCTCACTGAGTAAAATTTACTCAGTAAATTTTCCTTGTAAGAATTTGCAAATACTCAGTAACACAACTGTCAAATCTGCTCTCTCTCTCTCTCTCACTCTCAATTCACTCCCTTTTACTGGACTTTTGGATAAACGAACAACATTTTGTAATGATTATAATTATTGAGTAAACGAACGAACCTATTAAATAAAAAAAATCGGTGGATTTTTTTTTAATTTATTTATTATTAATATTTTTTGTAGACTTTCACAAACTCATAATGTAAATTTAATAAAAATTAATTAAAATATATTATACTAACTATTGTAAAAACATTTATATAATAAATTGGAATTATAGAAGGATCACAATACATTACAATATAACATTACATTACATACTTATATACTTATGTACAACAAAAATATATTACATTTTGAAAAACAAAAAAAAAATATTTGTGTATGAAGATAGATCATAAAGACGACTATAATTAAAGAATCAAAAACCGGTTAACCGATTTCTTTTGTAAAGTACTATGACAACACTAAATAGGGTTTGTAGTTTTAAATGCAGATAGAAGAGAATTCCAGAGGCTTTCTATGAACATTTGGAAGTTTTGAAAGGGGGAAGGCAAAGGTATGGAGACATTTATGACTTTTATATGTTACTAAAAGGAGTGTTTAATAAGTCAAGAGTATATAGAGTGCCTTCTACCTTTCCCACGTATACATTATTTGTATTATTATCCTAAAATCCTTTCTATACAAGCTGACTATCCTATAGCCTAGTTTAACTTCACCTAACTAAGTAGTTTTCATTGTTTCTTTTCACATAATCTTTTCGAGATTATTATAGAAAAAATATCCCCTGAACTTCATTATTACCTAGGTTTTTCTTTCAGAAAAAAGTAGGGAAAGTGGGCGAGGTTTTTAATGGTTTATTTACACAACAGAGGGGCGCATAACTACGTTTCTCTCGTTTTTCCCATCAGCTTCTCACGCTTTATTAATCTCTTCCTGCTCTTTGGTCGGCACCATTTTATATGTCTTATCTCTCTTGAACCACAGCCAATTATTTTCATTGAAATAATCTTCAATTTGTTCCAAGGTACGGCCTTTGGTTTCAGGTTGGAATAGATACATGAATATCGATACCAAAATACTGGCAACCCCAAATATGATAAACACGCCCTTCATGCTAATATTTGCATTGATCATGGGGAACATTTTTGTAAAACCGAAGAGGGCTACATTCATGGCAGCAAAGACACCACCCGCAGTACGTCCTCTAATCTTGGCGGGGAAAAGTTCACCAATCATAATACCAGGCATAACCATCAACGAGGTATTGAAAGCAATGTAAGCCATTAAACAGACTCCTGCCACAATGAGATCTGTGCCATTTTTAGGTTGACCCTCTCGGGCAAACATATAACCAGCTAGAACCAAACAACTAAGACCCGAACCAATACCAGACAAAATCAAAATCAATCTTCTTCTTATAAATAACAAAATAATACAAAATATAACGGTACAACACATCCGAATGACCGCAGTCCAGATAGCTGCCGATTTGGGATCAAAGCCGGCACCAAATTCAGAAATGATATCGATGGCATAGAACACCACAATAAAGGTACCCGAGGCAATTTGCAGGAATGAAAAGAGTATAACAATCACCAATGGTTTAATGGCAACCCGTTGACAGCACAATTGGAAAATGTTCTCATTCGTCTTGGTGGTGGCTTTCTCCTTGTCCAAACGTTCGGACATCACGTTCATTTCCTTCTGGGCCATTATTTCATTGCCACGTAAAAATTTTAGTGCTTTGCGTGCCTTTTCCAACTTCTTATGTCTCAGCAACCAGGCAGGACTTTCGGGTATAAAGAATATAGCCAAGGCAGCCAAAGCTGGTAAAACATTACCACACCAAGCCACAGCTCTCCAATGTAATGCTGAACCCAAGGCATAAACGATCAGGATACCCAGGGAATATGAAACGAAGGGAGCACCAATCAGCAAGCCACGAAGATTTGGTTCCGCCGTTTCGGCAATATAGACCTGGAATGAAAGAATGAAGAAAAATAAATTGTAATTCAGCAAAAATTTAACTAAAAAGAAAAATTCAATTCAGCGTTGCTGATTTAGGGGTTGTATAGGTTAATATCAGTTCAGGTTAGCTGAATGAGGCTTTCTATCGGAAACCGTAAATGTGGCCTGACTAAAAGGGATTTTCGTTTGAAAAATTTCAATTCAGCCTGGCTGAATGGGATTTTCAATAGGAAAATTTCAATTCAGCCTGGCTGAATGGGATTTTCAATAAAAAATGTTCAAATCCAACCTTCAATTCAGCCAGACGGATTCTGGGGGCAATTAAATGTGGGGTTCTGTTTGGAACTCTACAATTCTGAATAAGCATTTCTAGAGGAAATCTTCAATTTGACCTAGCTGAATGAGGTTTTTGATGAAAAATTATTAATTCAGTCTAGCTGAATAACGATTTCTATGTTAGATCTTTCCATTCAGCTGGACTGAATAGAATTTTCTGTGAGAAATCTTCAATGTAGCCTAGCTGAATTGGATTTTCTGCGGAAATTCTTCAATTTTAGTCGAAAATAAGAAAATAAGTAATTAAGCTTTGCTGAATATGCTTTCCTGTACGAAATTTTAAATTCAGCTCGGCTGAATAAGGTTTTTTGTTAAAAATTGTCAACTTAACCAGGCTGTATAAGGTTATTTGTGAAAAATTTTCTATTCAGCTTGGCTGAATATGGGTCTCGGTGGGAAATTTCCTATTTAGCCTCTCTGAATAAGGGATAGTGTGGTAAAATGTTCATTAAACTTGGCTGAATAAGGTTTTCTATTGTAAATTTTCATTTCAGCTTAGCGGAATAAGGTTTTTTGTTGGAAAATTTTTAACTAAAAAAGTTTGTATAGTTATTTGTGGAAATTTTGCAATTCAGCTTGGCTGAATCGGAGTATCTATGGGAATCTCCCGATTTAGACTCTTTTGTAGGGAAATTTTAACTGAACCAGGTTGTATTGGAATTTTTGGGGACAAATTTCGATTCAGCTTGTCTGAAAATGGTTCTCTGTGGAAAATTTTCAATTTAGACTTTCCAAATAAGGATTACTGTGGTAAAATTTGGCTGAATAAGTTTTTCTGTGCGAAATCTTCAATTCAGCTTGTCCGAATAAGTTTTTTGTTGAAAAATTTAAATTAAAACCGGCTGTATAAGGCTATTTGTGTAAAAATTGCAATTCAGCTTGGCTGAATAGGGTTCTCTGTGGGAATTTTCCAATTTAGTCTTTCTGAATAAGGTTTCCTGTTGAAATATCCCCATTAAACTTGGCTGAATAACGGTTTCTGTGGAAGATTTTCCATTTATCTATAGAAATTATTTTATTAAAATTTGTTGAATACGCTTTTCGGAAATCTTCAATTCAGTCAGCTGAATAAGAATTTTTGTTGGAAATTTTCATCTTAACCAAGTTGTATTGGGATATTTGTGAAAAAATTTCAATTCAGCTTGGCTGAATATGGGTCTATGTGGAAAATTTTAATTTTAGCCTTTCTGAATAAGGATTACTGTGGTAAAAATTGGTTTCTGTTGAAGATTTTCAATTCATCTAAAGAATTTAATTAATTAAGCTCCACTGAATACGTTTTTCTGTGGTAAATTTTTAATTCAGCTTGGCTGAATAGGGGTATATGTAGGAGATTCTAAGTTTGGCCATTTCTGAATAGGGCTTACTGTGGGTTTCGGAGCAATTCATCGAATATGGATTTTTGTGGCAAATTTTCAATTCAGATTAGCTAAATTAGTACTTTTTATATAGAAGTGGCTTTTCATATGTAGCATGATTTTCTTATTATTTTTCTGAGTGTATCTCCCAGGTCACGTCGCTCCAATTTCTAGAAATCTATTTCAATTGACACGCATTTCGCTCACCCAAAATAATGTAGGTCATTCACTTTAGCATAGATATATTTTTTGCGCTAGTTATGTGGACATGTGTTTGGGTGGTCTACATACTACTGACCTGCTAAACTATTTTTTTTTCGTATTTAATATCCATTTGCTGAATTTAATCGTAATAGTACAATGGCCTTGAACTTTTACGATTCAGGTTCAAGAATAACTTATTCTCGGTGACATTTGATTTGCAAAATGACTTGTTTTCTATTCAAAACTATTCATCGTCATAGGTAGAATAGACAGAGCGAAAAAAATAATATGAAAAGGAATCTATGGAACTTCCGACAATAGCATCATCTATCATAGCTATCGTTTGTGCGAGTGTGCGGGACACCACTACGACTATTGTCGTAGTGTTGTCCGGTAATGCGGATCTTATTGTTGAAATTAATAGAGCAAACATAAACAAATCCACTTATTTTTCATCGTGCGGATCACAAAAGTGTTTATCGTCTTCTACAAGATGAAAGCTGAAAATCTGATGATGATGATGAATATGTCCATGACTTTTCCCAAAGAAGACGTGATTCTGTGTAGTTTTTTTTTTGTTCTATTCTAATGTGGCTGCATGTCTCATTCAGAAATGTGGCTGACTGCCTGCCTGCCATTTGACATGTGCGTTCGCGTTCCAGCCACTGGTGGGAATTTTTTATGCTAATGCACCCGGCCAACAGACATCGGATTTCTTTTTTTGTTCCTAGGCACAATGGAGATTTCCGAGTTTATGACATGGAAAGGGGTGTGTAAGTGTGTGTGGCTGTGATGACAGCTATGCAAAATAGTTCCGCATTTGTGTAAGGTTACAACAAAAGTGGAAACACACCATGTGCCGTGGCGTCTTGATTTGTGGCCACACTCACTTAAATGAAATGAAAATCTGGATGCAAAATGAGCATCGAAATCTGGTCTCTGCTTTCATTTAATCTTCATTAAATTATAACCCTGACTGGGACTTTGGGGCGTAATTATTTTGTTTTCGTTTTCATTTGGCGTATTTAATTTCATCATTCGTACATACCTGAGCCGGTCCACCCAAAATACCGGTGGCAAATCCACAAAACAAACGTCCTATAATTAACATTGGATAGGATTGCGATAAGGCCAATACAGACCAGCCTATAAATAATGGTATCACAGACACTAATAGTGTGGAACGTCTTCCAATATAATCGGCCATGGGTCCCGAGAGGAATGATCCGACTGGGGTGGCTAAACTGTGGACACTGGCTGTAAAGAAAAATATTTTTTGTAAATATTTTTATTTTCAAAATTGTTGTTGAGAGTATTTTCGACTTACCAATCCACGAACCCATTTCAATGTCAATAATAATTTCGGGTGTGGAATTTGTTGTTGCGCTGCCACCTATTGTCAGTTGTGGTAATAATACTGCTGAATAACCAATGGGCATACCGCAGGCGGCTGATAGCAACAATACGGCACATGTGGCAATAATCTAAAAGTGGAAGAAAATAAATAAAATTAAAAGGAAATAAAATAATTAGGTTATGTCGAAGGTAAAGCTTGGTATTCCCTTTGAAGGCTGTGAAACTAAATATATAACCAGTAAGGAAAGTAGTAAAGACGGACTGTGCCGACTATATGATACCCTTCACCACTTTGGGTATATCCTACATATGTATCCTAACAGACATCGCGTGCTTGTTATATATTTATATCTGAATCGATTTCAGAGGAACTTGCCAGAGACTATATTACTTCAGTACGGTGTGTCAATCGGCCTAGCTATGGATCTTTTCACGAAGCTTAGCAGCATCATTTTAGACTTAAGCATCATTTTAGACAAAAATTCGTGCAAATCGAAAGATATATAGGGACTTTAGTGGACTATTTACGTAAAATCGGGCGAAACTATATATGGAAGCTATATCTAAATCTGAACCGATTTTCACGAAACTTTGCACAAATCATTCTAGACTTAATTCAGTAGGCTATGTCAAATTTCGTGCAAATCTAAAGATATATAGAAACTTTGGTACACCATTTACCTTAAATCGAACGAAAATATATATGGGAGCTATATCTAAATCTGACCCGATTTTTTCCCAATTTCAATAGGGTTCGTCCTTGGGCCAAACAAATGAGCTGTGCCAAATTTCATGCAATTCGGATCATAAATGCGACCTTTACTTTGTTTACAATATAACATGGACAGACGGACGGACATGCATAAATCGACTCAGAAAGTGATTCTATGCATATTCTCATTTGAATTTAATTCGCATATGCAAGTTTCGCATCAGGGCGGAATAAATACAAGTTATCAACATACGACCTTTGTAAAGCCACATAGCCCAATATGCCTGATGAGCCGCTTAACCAACGCGAAACGCGTCGCATAATGGTTGGTACGCAGGTTCTTCTCCTGGCTTTCCTTTTCATTGCAAAACTTAGATCATTAAGCTCGACTCGAAAGAGTATAAATAATCACTTTACTGATTTTAAAAACAATTTTTGAAACGGTGAAACAATCGCGAATATCAAATTGATGCTCAAATATGTAGATAAGCCTGACTATCAATCCACTGCCTCGGAAGCGGCGAGGAGGATTAGGTCTCCGGTTAGGCAGAAGAATACCAAATCCGGAAATAGTTGAAGGTGTTGAAGGAGACAGCCACGAGAATCCATCGATTGAAGGCGGCGAATATTCAAGAAGGGATCTACTGCAAGCTTCCGTAAGGGATTGGAATCCCAAAATTACAAAACGACGTTTACGTAAGAGGACGGAGGTTGTCGAGAGGCGCTATAGAGAATAACGACTGGGCTAGCTATTCGTATCAACACTTGTTTGATGTACTATATTTAGCATTTATATCGAAATAATTTGGATAATAGTTATGAGAAGTTTGTAACACCAATGCAGAGGTAAGAGTCGGCAAAAGTGTCTGAAATAAAGAAACAATGGAATGCAAAACTAGTCACAATCGAGTGAGTGGAAAGTCGGCGGATTAGCCAATTAAAAGTTGAAGGAGACGGTCACGAGAATTCATCTACTGAGGGCTTGCTTTGCTATCCAAAAGGAATCTCAAATAGACAAACCGACATTTACATGTAAGAGGTCGGAGGTTGTCAAGAGGTGCTATACAGAAGAACAGTAGAGCTTGCTGTTCGTATCAACACTTATTTGTTATATTTTATTTAGCATTTATATCAAAATAATTTGTAAAATACATATGAGAATTATGTAACACCATTGTAGAGGATAAGACTGTCTGAAATAATGAAACAATGGAATGCAAAACTAGTCACAATCGAGTGAGTGGAATGGCGTCGTTTGTTAGCAAGAGAAACATTAGTCAACTAAATGTTTGAAAAAAAAACACCAAGAAAGGGAGAGGCAGATAAAGAGAAACCACAACCAATTAAAAGTTGAAGGAGACTGTCATGAGAATCCATGGAAGAGGAGCAGCTCAATCTTCCCTAAAGGAACCGACCTTTACGTAAGAGTTCAGAAGTTGTCCAGATTTCTGTAGAGAATAACACTTATTTCATATATAGTATTTAGAATTTATTTCGAAATAATTTGGAAGATTTATATGCGAATTTTGTAAAACCAAAGCAGATGTAAGAATCAGGAATACAGTTGTAAGAGTCATCCACTGAGGACGGCGAATCTGGCTCTAATATTCAGAAAAGGAACATCGCAATCTTTTGAAAAGAAACCCGACCTTTATGAAGGAGGTCAGTGGTAGTTAAGAGGCGCTATAGAGAAGAACGGTTGGGCTTGCTTGTTCATATCAACACTTGTTTGATATATGGTATTTTAGCATTTATATCAAAATAATTTGGAAAATACATATGAGAATTATGTAACACCAATGCAGAGGATAAGACTGTCTGAAATAAAGAAATAATGGAATGCAAAACTAGTCACAATCGAGTGAGTGGAATGGCGGCGTTTGTTAGCAACAGAAACATTAGTCAAATAAATGTTAAAAAACACCACCAAGAATGGGAGAGGCAGATAAATAGAAACCGTAGCCAATTAAAAATTGAAGAAGACTGCCACGAGAATCCATCTACTGAGGCTGGCGAAGCTTGCTCTACTATTCAGGAGAGGATCATCGCAAACTTCGGTAAAGGCTGGGAATCCCTAAAGAACAAACCGACCTTTACGCAAGAGTTCAAAAGTTGTCAAGAGCCCCTATAGAGAATAACACTTGTTTGATATATTGTATTAAGCATTTACATCAAAATAATTTCGAAAACACATTTGCGAATTTTGTAAACCCAGTGCAGAGGTAAGAGTCGGTAAGAATGGAATGCATAGCTTGTCACAATCGAGTGAGTGGACGGCGGCGTTTTTTTTAGCAACAGAAACATTAGTCAAATAAATGTTAAAAAAAAACAACCACCAAGAAAGGGGAGAGGCAGATAAAGAGAAACCGTAGCCAATTAAAAATTGAAGGAGACTGCCACGAGAATCCATCTTCTGAGGGAGGCAAAGTTTGTTCTACTATTCAGGAGAGGAGCATCGAAATCTTCCCTAATGCCTGGAAATCTCATAAAATAGAAAGCCGACGCTTACACGTAAGAGGTCGGAGGTTGCAAACAGGCGCTATAGAGAAGTGTCTATTGTCATGTCATGTTGTTAGAACTTAATATACATCTAATAAAGGAGATATTGAAACGTTGAAAGATCGATAAATGATAGACCGAGAATTTTGCAATTGAACTGCTATATTCGACTGACAATAATAATAGGTTTATTCCAAAAATTACATGGTATATATTAATTTTTTTTTCAATGTAGATACAGTGCACAATTTTACTTATCCACACTTTCACTTGTTTATTAATTATTGAAAAAATTCAACAAACAAAATCATTGCCTGTGATGACCTACATTTGGCACAATTCGCTATATGCAATTAATGTTATTATATACAACAAAACATACGATGTCAGTTGGAAAATGTTGGTAAACATGTGATCGAATCATATTTATTTTTTAATTAATTTTCAAGGATTAGCAGAGCTATAAGATAGGATTTTTAAACGCGTATTTTGTAGGATTAGTGGAGATAATTACAAGGATAAACAGATCTAAAAGTGTGAATTTTAAAAAGAATAGTTTTCAAAAAAACATAGTTTGTGAATTATATACAGAATATATTTTAAAGACTACACTGAAAAAACATTTTAATAAACATTTTCATAATTTCATTCATTGTTTATTTTTTTCATATTTTACATGTACCTCACTTAGAATATAAGTAAAAATTCTTGTAAAGCCACTTTTTTCCAAAAAAAAAATGCAAACATTTCATTAATATCAAAACTAGTTTCATACTACGCTCTACTTAGCCACTATTTGCGCTAGTTTTTACTCTCTCTCCCTCTCTCTCTCTTGTCAAAAACAAATTTATTCCTCCCATGAAAAAAGCCACCACCATTCATTGTTCGGTTGTGTTTTGTTTTGGTATCGTCCTCTGTCTCTCCCATGTTTTGCAACCGTTTGTGTGTCCAGTTTCTCTTGCTTACAACAGCGGTCTCTCCACCCACTCGATTGTGGCTAGTTTTGCATTCCATTGCTTCCTTATTTCGGACACTGTTAAACAGAATTGGTGTTATAAAATTCGCATATGTATTTTCCACATTATTTCGATATAAATGCCAAATACAATATAACAAAAAATATTTCCCGAAGACCAGCACCATCCAACTATCAAAATTAATGTTTCGTTTCCTACTGGAAACCAAATCATACCCGGGACTCAAAGTGAGAAATCCTTATGTTTTTCGAAAACAAACTTTGAGCAGTTACGTGAACTTATGCATAACACAGACTGGGATATCCTTTTGTCTAGCACTTACGATTTAAATGGTGCTATCGATATTTTTTACAAAAAGCTATACGATTTTATTGATATCAGCGTACCGAAATATGTAATTAAGAAGCTTTCTGGGCCACCATGGAACTCTATAGCTTTGGCAAAGGCTAAAAATGTGAAAAATAAACAATATAAGAAATATAAAAAGACAGGATCTTCCATTGACTACGGAAGATATTCTGTAGCACGGTCTGAATATACTACTATGAATAATATTTGCTATTCAAATTATCTGACAAAACTCAAAAACAACTTTAAACAGAATCCGAAGTCCTTCTTCAAATTTGTCAATTCGAAGCGCAAATCCACCGATTTTCCACCAAATTTAAAGTACGATGATGCTGAATCCTGTGATATAAATGTTATATCTAACATGTTTGCAGACTTCTTCAGTACAACATATTCTACTAAAACTTTTAGCGGCAACAACTACCCCTTCGAAATTAATACTAATCAATCAATATCTATTTCACTATTAAACAGCTCTATGGTTTTAAATGGATTGAAAACTTTAAAGTATAGCTATGATTTTGGACCAGATAATATCCCGAGTTGCATCCTAAGGAAGTGCGCCGATGCTTTTGTTTATCCTCTTACCATA